CGAGATCCGTGTTAACAAGTGAAATATACCCAGTGGACGGATTTCGAAGGGAGAATCACGACATCCGCTTTTCTATCCACGATCGCACACAGAGAATCATCTATTTTCAACAATCTCTATACTATGCTTGTATACTTTACTTATATTAATGCTCTGGGGTAAGATAATGAAACTGCATCGAGTGCGTGCACGCACGCGTACTTGATTAATTTTTCAACTTATTATTCTCGAAAACATTCGGAACATCCTTTGACGAACGTCCATCGACTTTATTTTGTTTAATGGAAACAAACACTTTCGCGACTTGTAATAATAAGCGAAAGAAAATGATGCATGCGTATGCACGGTTCGTTAGATTGAATAATTGAGAGGAAAAAAAAGTAGTCTTAGATGATAATGATGAAAACGATAGCGAGAAAAAGTCGTTTGGGGTTCAACTAAATGCGTAATAATTCACGAGCGCGTCTGTGAAATCTTATGTTACTTATATAGCAGTACGTCACGCTCAAACTAAAACGCACAACACACAAAGGAACGTTAGATGCATCCATGAGTAACCGAGAAGTACGCTCGTTTCTAAATGTTCCCACGTATTACCAGGTCAATATACTTTTTAAATGCGAGTACCGTACGGTCACCTCAACCCGTGGATAATCTACAACCTTCACGGCCTTTCGACGTCACGAGAGAGAGAGAGAGAGAGAGAGAGAGAGAGAGAGAGAGAGAGAAAGAGAGAGAGAGAAAAAGTAATAATCTTGCGAAATCCAGGTTACGCAATCTCCGTCAAATACGCATATATATTTATTCCATTCTACGCATAATCGATAGCTTAGGAATATCTAATTCAATGGTGTCTACCTTATTTGCATCATAAAGAGGAATACAAAATAATAACCTTATTGCCAATCTTTCTTTATTACATTTAAAAGAGCAAAATTGTAGAAAAGATTTTATTACATTTTGCAAAATGATGACTCTGATGTACTCTAGAGGTCTTTAATTCGAAAAACGTAAAGAAGCATATTATTTAAGAACATAAAATAGAAAAAGAAAAAAATGTGTCTTCTCATTTAACGAAGCTTGGAACGTTTACGACTAGAGCGTTTTGGCTTGAAGCTGCAATTACAATACGATAACGCTAATTATACTAATTACGAATCTCGTTTACGTTGAACCGATTGTCCGGCCAGGCGGATACCCGCGATTATTCCGAGAGGATATCGTTCTTAGACGATCCAGATGCATATCGGTAGGAAGTAAAAGGAGGATGACTGTTTTAAACCACAGTACCACTACTATTGGACTCGTACATATAAATATACTATATATATACTTAGATTTCGATGAAAGAAAAATGAGCGTCATCCGGTAACGGATATGTTCGACACGTAGGATATTGTGTAGAAATGAATTCAATAAAGAAGATAAAGAAGAAAAACATAGATCGTAGAGAAGGAAGCCTTATATTATATACTATATACCTATTACGCAATCCAAGACCCAATGGTCTTTTACGCAACTCGTAAAAGGTGTTCCCCACGAGCCTATTGTCGCGCCGAGTGACAGAATAATATGTCGGTCATATAGCAATGCTATACAACGCATCTAAATCCATACTCGTGACATATTACAATTACATCACTTACCAAAGAGATTGCATCTGTAATCGTGGATTATTATGACCGGTTAAACGTTCGAACGCAAGCCACGAGTCACGAAGTTAGAAAACTTCTATGCTCGATGCGAGATCGCGTCTTAACAGTGTGCGTATTGTGCAATAATATTTAAACGTTAGTCTCCGTTTAAACCAGTTGGCTTATTACTCAAATTTTATGCTCCCGTGGATTTATATGTTCTAATGTTCCTCTTCAAAAATAAAAATATTTTTCTCTACCCGAAGTAGTATAGTTGGTGCAAATAGATTTAAATGATAGATCGTGTTAAGAAGAAAAATGTCATAACACAACGGACGTAGACAAAAGATAATAGTTTAAGTTAAAGATTAGCAAGAGGAGTCGCTGCATGCGTGTAATCGCACTCGCGCGTCCTGGGTGTTGGAGGTTAGGTAACGGTGCAGCAGCCAAGTAGCAGACACGAAGGCGACCGAGAGTCGAGACGCGAAAGAGAAAGATGAAGATAGACGGAGGAAGGTAGACGAAGGAAGGTAGACGAAGGAAGGTAGACGAAGGAAGGTAGACGAAGGAAGGTAGACACAGGATTGCCCGTAGTTATATGGAAAGAAAGAAAAAAAGAGAAAGAGGGAGAAAGAAAGAGAATGTTGCAAGACTGGAGAACCATACGTCATTCCAGATATGCGTATACTAAATTGCCTTGCTCGCAAGAAAGACAGAAGAAGGAAGAAAAAACAAGAAGAGAAGAGAAAAGAAGGAAAGGGGAATTGGTTGCTTGGCTACAGCAGTGTACTCCGCCTAGCCCAGATTTCGAATCGTTTTGGTTGTGTTGGTAGCGGGAGAAAGACAGGGTGGGTGGGTGGAGACAACGGCGACGGGGTGACGCTCGTGACCCGCTTGTTCTGAACCCGGAGATTCCTCTCCTTTTATCCGGCAAGGATCGTACAGAGCACGTGGCTACCTACGACCTCGAACGAGAAGAAAGAGAGAGAAAAGGGTTATCTTTCCAACGAGAAACTCGACCAAATTCCTTCGACCTTCTGTGGTTGACCGTTTAAACGACTCTCTCTCTCTTTCTTTTTTTATTTCCTTTATTCCTTTTCTCATGAACCAAGCAACTAAACGAAATCATCGATCTAACGTTCAAAGAGGTTCTAACGAGCGTGAAAATTGAGAGATGCTTGGCGAAGACTTTCGAGGGAAAGCGAAAGCTTCAACGTTGCATTCTGTTCTCTTGGAGATCAACTCAGATCTCGAGATCCGGAAGTTTCTCCTTTTGTAACTTTTACAACGGGGAGGAGGTTGAACATTCCAGATCGTCGTCTGTCGATGAAATCGAGACAATAACCTAACGATGACCTGCCGCGAGCCCTGGAAGATGATTTAACGATAAAACTATGCGCATTCACCTATGCACTCCCCAGTGTATATATGGAAGGAAGACTGTCCAATTAAGTGCAGGTAGGTCGGTGCACGTAGAGATACTTCCAACCCCTCCTTTATTTTTTCCTCCTTTTTCTCCTCCTCCCGTTCTTTTCTGTGGCCGGTGCTATCACGAGCCAACTTCGAGCGTAAAACCACATGGAATCCCTATTCCTCGTTTCTTCACCATTCTCCTTAATTATATCCCCGAGCAATGTATATTCCCGCACATATACGTAATTGCGGACAATATTCATGAACCTCGGCGCGTCTTAACGACGATATTGCTCTTTTGTTATCTCCGCACTTACTTACTTTCCCGACCGGAATGAAAACGAGCTGCGATTGGCTAAAATTTGATAAGCCACGAAGTTAATCAAATTTCTAGACTTTCTTTATACGAACTAACGGAATACAGATATGGGCATCTGCCAGCGATTTTAATTTACAAATATCTAATGAAATATTACATCGCAAAATATTGCATAAATAGAATTTCTACCAAATTATCAAGCAATAATTCGCTACTAGATTGGTAATATAAAAATTTGATGTACATAAGGAGAAGGAGGAGGAGGTGGAGGAGGAAGAAGAGGAGCCCACCTGCAAACTAAATTCTTAACTGAAATTCGACACCTTCTCCTGTTCATCTACAAACTCTCCCTTCGTCATAAAAGTTCGCTTCTTTTTATTACGAAATGGAAAGTTCAAAGCATTCCCTTCGTCGAAGGTCCTACGCGTATATCGAGACGTTTCTTGGTGGATAGATGGTATATGTATAGGATGTAAACCGAGAAGCAATAAGAACGAACCGAGCAGACCCTTTGAATGTAGAGCCAACGCGTCATTTCTGAGACCACCTGTGGTAAGCAGAACTTTTATATTATATATTATATTTAATATACATGTGTAAGCTATGTGGATATACTAGCCGTGTTCGTCCCTTGGAATATAGAGATTCCTACGTTTCGGAAAGATTTCGCGCAACGGCGCTGTTGCCGTCCAAAAAACACCAAGATAAATATTAAAAAGTCAAGTATCTTTGTATTAAAAACATGACTAGATTTTCTGAGAAAATCAATCAGCCCAGTTACGTCTTCGGTTGACTAACACGAGAAAAGAGAGACAAAAATCGTACAAAAATCGCGGCGTCCTAATGGCTCAGGAATCTTCTCTCCACGAATGCCAAAGACATAAAGAAGAAGAAGTAGAAGAACGAATGAACGAACGCGAACGAACGAACGAACGAACGAACGAACGAACGAACGAACGAACGAACGAACGAACGAACGAACGAACGAACGAACGAACGAACGAACGAACGAACGNCGAACGAACGAACGAACGAACGAACGAACGAACGAACGAACGAACGAACGAACGAACGAACGAACGAACGAACGAACGAACGAACGAACGAACAAATAACATAGCTGCCGCGCCGTTAAGGTCGGCTATAAATAAAGAAGATCGATGTTTCTCTCCTCTTTTTCTCTTGGTGCCGCTCGTCGTAGAAAACGTTAACGGAAGGTGAAATGAGTTTTTAAGGTGGAACGATGAAATCCAGCAAAGAAATCGTCTCGCCACCTACGAGACGAAACGAGTCTCCTTCCATCTGACTTATTTCTCACCGACTTAGAAATTGACGGCAAGCTATTGGCTATAAATCGCCATTTAAACCGTTTCCTCCGATTTATATCTTCGACATGAAACAGAAATTTGACGATTCGATGATTCCAACCATTCGGAAAAGAGAGTACGGCCTTACCCTTATGCGGACAAGGATTAAAATTTACGGTTCGCACGACCTCAAAGATTCTTAGAGGCTAACACGACGATTTGCATGGTTCGAATGCCGGTTTACGAGGCGTGCCCGCTCTTTCGAACTTTAGCAACGTTTGGTAGGTATGCGCTTTCCGCTTGCTTCACAGTTCTTTCGTTCTTTAGGAATCCCAAAGCGCGAAACCAAGTAACGGATTCTAACCGAAGAAAAACTATTTCCTATTGTTCGCAACTTCTAACAACCTGAAGATATAGAAGAAAAAATATATGTACAGCGAATGAAAGAGTTGTTACGTGCCGGGTTCAAGAATACACAGGACGCAACACGAGTTCGACTCCATATACGGTAAATCCTTCAGGAATTGATGTTTTATTTCTCTACAGTTCGTTTGTGATTGTAACGTATAATTAAAGAACTTTTTTGAAGGTTACAAAACTAGAATTTTTACTTATGTGTTTGATGTTATTTTTTAGATCACTCTGGAAAAAGGAATATTATAAGTGAAGTTAGTTAAAAAAATACTATCATTCTACCAACCTAGGTAGCGATGCCAAGTAAAATTCATAATAGTAACACGCAAAATTGAATGATTTGAACGGCAAGATTGAGAGCGATCTTTTGAATTTGATCTCTAACCTTGATAACTTATGGCAATCTGTAGCGACGGGAACGATCATCAAAGTACTACGTTTTGTAATTTCGAAGAAACGATTAGGGAATTACTCACAATCGGAGAAAGAAAGAAAGAGAAAGAGAGAGAGAGAGAGAGAGAGAGAGAGAGAGAGAGAGAGAGAAAAGTTGATAAAAATGCAAGGTAGAAACGTATGGGAATTCGATCATCCCGTAGCGCGATTATTATTACTTCTCCTAACGGCACTTTCTTACGCAGGATAATCGATGGTTCACCGTGTGTTTCGAACGGCAATTTCATTGCCGTGATAATAATGGCCCCTTAGGACTCCTACCGATGAGATTGGCTCTTAATTGCACAGAGATATATATCTTAATTTAGATCGCGGACAATCGCACTACAAAGTCGTGCCTCGAGCCAATCTCTTGTCCTTTTTAAACATGTGCACGTAAGTAAGTACTTACTTAGGCATGGATAATAGCATGATACAATGAGATGAATTAACGATCTCTATTCAAAATAAAAACCCCATACACTTTGTTATGCTTATTTTTGTTGATGTCTTCTTTTATTGATCTATTATTATATCTCTTAATTATGATAATCATATCAAACCTAAAAATATTTGAATAATTTTGATCGAACTAACGAGTTGCATCAACGGGAGTTTATAATTTGTTGCATAACAATATTATTAAAGGAATTCATTGGCTACATTCTTGGAGACTCACGTAACCATGCTATATGATTTACGAATAAACCATGAATCAGAGACGAATCCTCTATGCGTTTGAAGATGCGAAACAATGAGAAAGGTGTCGCATTAGGAGGATTCAAAGTAAATGCGACCGACTAGCGGTAAGTTTAGCGACGGTCATGCGACTCCGTGAAATCAACTCTACGACAAAATACAGCAGTATATTCTTGAACTCTGCCTGCATAGGTACGTGTCAACGAAATGCAATTTATGTGTTAGGTTGGTAGGTACGTTCATAGAGGGGTACAACGTCTTAACGTAACGGAAATAATTTGCGGTTTTAAGCAAGAGATGAGATACGTTAGACCTGATCCCGGACTGACACGCAGAATAAGTAGGTTTTTATCAAGGTGTCAGCAAATTACCTAAGAATAATTTTCATTTGCGGTAGGTCGAAAACTGTTACGATATCCCAAGCCCTTCTCGCTTTGAAGACTATTTTATTTGTCAACTAATTGTAAAAAAAAGTGTTATTTGTTGTTGGTTTACTTATACATATATCAAGACTTGTTCAAATGCCATCAATTTGTCCGCGTAAGAGAATCAACGGAAGAAAATAATCATTGATCGTTCCGTCGCTCTAAAAAGAAACACAGCTAAAAGAGAAATAAATAAATAAATAAGGAAATAAGGATAGAAGGAGAGTTAGTAAATAAATAATCGTATGCGTTGGTCTCGTCGAGGACAATCCTAAGATAACTGTAAAAACTTGGATAAACTCTGTTGCACGCGGCACCGTAACACACACCCACTCTTTCTCTGTAACCACTAATGGAATGACCTGTTCGAGTTTACAGAAAGCTATAACCGGGGATCGTCCTAAGAACGCAGGGCGTGCGAACTTAGCCTTCGTTCCATCCTGCGCGAGGGCCACACATCGACAACGCGTGCGCTCGCAGCTGGAAATTATCATCGACTTTACCTTCCATCGCCGTAGGCAAACAACGACCTCCGATCTTCCTCTTAAGCGAAACGTCTTCCTTTTTTATTAATCAAAGCGATCAACGGATTCGACTTTCCTTCATTTTACGACTATTAATATAATTGAAATATTAAACGATTTCGACCTGATAATATATCAGATGAACATTTCAAATTCATCACTGGCCAGAAACGTTAAAACAATAATTTAGGTACACACTTTGCAAAGGAGTCCATACAGTTAACTAGTTAAATAAGTTGATTAAATAATCTTTTAATAATAAATAATTAGTCTCCTCTTCGTCCATTAATCAGCATAGGAACGTTTATTACAAATATATCATGAAGAAATATGTTTCATAATTATATGCATGTGTCAAGAATGATCGATAAATGTTCCGACACTCCCTAAAGATTGAAAACATGGAGAATTAAAGAAGATTATCTCGAAAGATCGCGTAAAACGACTAAATTAATGCGAGTACAAGTAACACTCGAGCGAGGCGCGAAATAATCGCTAAAAGCTTTTTTTTTTATCGACCATTAACTGCAAAAGACTACGTTGTGGCTACTTAATTGCTAAGGACACTTAATGAGAACATTATCCGTGTAGACGTTGAGCATGGTCAATTCCTGGCTAATGACATTCTCTTCGACTCGACTCGACTCGACTCGTCCTCTAACACAACAGCTGCCGAGTCTATCGAACAATTAATCGACCGATCACGATCCTTCTTTTCCTTTCATCTTCTACTACATGATTCAATTTTTCAAATTATTATATACTCTATTCAACGTTAACACAAAATAAATCAAAACAATAATATGAACATAATTCACAACCCGAGGTAATAATCATATACAATTTATTTAAAAAAGTGCAAGAGTAAAATTATAACTGACTTTAATTCTATAACTTTGTTTTTCTTATCTTCTCTTTAAACATTTTTATTGCTACTTATTTTGTATATTTATTGTAAGTATAAGGAACTTTACGCTTCAGCCCCGGCTTCGTTGTCAAATGCAAATGGATAGGAGAGGAAAAAGATAAAAAAAAAAAGCGGAGTCAAGTTTGAAAAAAAAAAGAGAAAAGAAGTAGGAGAAGTATGGGGACGAGGCCTCACGATGTAACACCGTGGGAGTCGGCGGCCTCGTTTCACGGTTTCTTCTCCGTGAAAGTGATCCCCGATATTATAAGAGCACTCGCGCGAGTCGCTATTAGTCCTCCTCATGGCTATTCATTCTGCACCATAGATCTCGAGATCGTGCACGGATAGATCACGGTCGTTTGTTCGGCACGACTTGCGTTGTCGTCCCGTACAAGTTTCTTCGATTCTTTTATTTTTATTTCAAATTTTCCTTCCTTTCTCATCTTGCGTAACAGCAATGGGGACTGTCGAGTAACGAGGCGGAAGTTCGGTTTGATTTCAATTTCAAAATTGATGATGCGAGATAAGAAAAGGAAATAGGATCGGGGAAATATCAAATGTCGAACTCACGATCTGCTAGATCTTTTATATTATTATTTCTTTTTGAAGAGAGATAGATAGGTAGGAAAAACTGAGCCTTGAATCTACACTACTCTGCGTCTAACAAAATCTATGTTATACAATAAATACTTTGATTAATATAATTAAATTGTATTAAACGGATAGGTACTTGTGGCAAATATTATAGGCTTCGGATACGGACAAATGATAAGTATCGTGAGAAGAAAATAAAGCAATACAGACAACATTTAGGAGTGCGAGACTACAGATTGGAAGAAAATAAGTAACAACAGGGTTAACGATTTCTGAACCGCGAAGATTCGGTCACGAAGGGACGGATTATCATGTGCCGTGTCAGAAACTATTATAAAGTTAAGAGTAAGAAGAATTAAAAGGGCCCGACCCCAAATGAACGATGTTGCTGCTCGCTGGTAGTCCGCAGTAAGTTTTACCGTTAAATGTTCGGAAAACGGTTTAGAGAATTTCACAGTAATAATACGCTCAGTATTTAATATTACGCTAGAGTAGCGTAAAGTTCTTTCAGGCGGGAAGGAGAAAGAGAAGGAAAGAAGAGACCTCAGGGCGTTCGCGCCAATAGAGGCAATGAATCATCCGGTAACGCAGTCTGTCTCGTCGTTACTTTCCTTACCGATCGGCGAACGATCCTAAGGTCAAACGCCATTCCACGCGATGATATGAACATCGATAGGAACCAACTTCAAATCGAAAGATCATTTTTTTACTAATCGAACGCGCTCGAACAAAATAGAAGAGAGAACGGAAGCGTTCTCAGGATTAGAGTTTCCGATGGAAAGGGAGAGTAGTCGGTCGTATTCTCCTATCCGCGTGTGGTCGAGTTCGAGTTTAACTTGGAGACTTCAACGAGAGGGAGGTACGGTGTCACTCACCGCAGAAAACGTCCTTTCGAGATATATCTCCCAGACCACAAAATAAGATTCTACTAGGATTTACACTGTGGTCAAGACGAAGCCACTCGATCGAACCAAATCCGTACGAGTACCTACTACATAGTTCAACTTGGCTCTGCTTTTACGACGATAATAAAGTATTATCGTTTCAATCATTTTCTTCCCTTTCAAATTTATAATCAACTCTATTCCTTTTCATTCCTCTAGTAGAGAATATCAAGAGAAAATACAATAAATATATAATATAACCGATTCTTTATTTTCTTCTTTGCATGTTCAAATGCATTAACATGATTACTGCACATAACAGTACGAATAAAATCGCGTTCATTTTGAATATTATAATATATATTACCGAAAGCAGGATACTTTCTTAGTACATTGCATGTGAACAAAATCGTCGGTGGATGATAGACGATTTTAACATCGATCCTCTTCCCTTTTCTCTTTTCTTCCGTTTCTTTTTTACCTCTCATCGTTGAAGACCTTTAGATTATAAATTATACGATATTAATACGTGCTGTTAATTACCGAGAGATCATTAATCTACGGTCACTCGTGTCCTATTATATTCGCGTACCTTTACCGACAGACGATAATAATCATTATCGTCTGAAAGAGGATCGGATGGATCGATGCGTCGTCGCGTCATACCATTTCGTTCCATCGAACAATCCTTTCGTAATCCTCCCTCCTCTTTCTCTCGCTACGAATAAAAGGATTGCAAGTACTAACTCGAATAAAATCGATCAGTAAAACGCTCCGAATTATCCAAATTTCGCGGCTCGTTTGTCACCTTGGAAAAAAAATAAGAGGAACGCGATCAATTAATGCACCTCCGACGGCAATCATATTCGCAATGGTGGATTCATTATTAATTATTTCATTTATATCATATTTATCTGTTATTATCATTTGCTCGATCAACCTGTAAAATTGCTTGAAAATAAAAACAGGACTTTGTAGATATTCCGTATAAGAAAGGTAGAAGGTAGAAGGCTCGAAATGCAGTAGCCGAGCAATCCTGCATTGGAATCGATGTGCCTGCCTGAAGGCAGCGACAAAGAGAGAAGAAGGGCACGCGACTCGAAGAGACCCTTTCAAGGTCGCCGGCTACCGTCCAGGATTATCCTCGATCGCAGACGCGC